TGTGTGCTAACAATTTTTATTATTATATCAGAAAATTTAGAAAAAATGATCGGAATTTTAAGAAGAAAAGGCGGACACGTTCCCAATATTCAATAAATGAGTTTTTTGCGTCTGTAAAAGGTGTTTTTATATAGTAAAAGACAAATAGTTTTACTAAAAAGACTAATCAATTAAAAAAGTTCAAAAACACATTTCGGAATCACGATATTGGAAGTCACAACACTATCAAATGATTATGATATATAAACTTTAGTTTTGAAATATAAATGTTTGCAAAATTGTTATGAAACTGGCTTCGCTGATATAGAATGGATGCACGGTTTTCGTAAAAAAGATAGTTAGACTCTAAACGACATATAGGCATATGTCGTTTAGTTTATATAGTTTGAGATCAATGAAAACGATTTTTTTTTATTAATTTGTTATTTTACTTAATATATATGAAGTTACCACACTGTCTGAATGTTCCCCGGCCCATGTACGATTGTACCCCGTAATAGGGGTAGATTCGGACATTCATAAGCGTTTAGTAAAATTCAATCCTTTGATATATTATACAAGATATCGGCTTTGAACTTTTTAAATAAGGAGCAGAAAGTATGCTTTATGTTTTAATAAGTAATTGAGAAATTTATCTTTGATTATCAATATTTTAAAAATCATTGACTAAAAAGTGTACGAATGGTGCCAATCTTCCCCTACTTAGACATCAGGCAGGCAGATCCTTAACTCTGTTAAAGTAATCCGAGCAAAGTAAAGTAGGTATGCTTTCTATATACTCGCCTTAGAAACACTTGCGCAGTTCCGTGGTATACGCGCAACCATTGAAACAAATGACTATCCATTCAATCAAGCAACGCCTACTTGTCATTTCCTGCTATTGTATATTTTATATGTAGGTAATACAACTTTCAGAATTCTCAACTTAGAATTAAATTACCAATGTTTACAGTACAAGTATTATTTGCCGCAAAGATATTGTATTACGCACGTATACTGATGATTAAAGTAGAGCCAAGCTATACAAAAACTGATTTGATTTTTTTGATTAGTCCCATACTTAGATTAGTAAACTTAATGTATTGTTCAATACTGACATATTATGATAATAATATAAGTACTTGTTTGAGAGATTTTTTCAATTTTATTATTTAAATGTTGGATCTAAGAACAAAAATCATTGTTAATATATGTATTGCCATAGAACAGGCGGATAACAAACAAAAAAATAGTTTGAAAACTAATATATACTTAGATCAATACATATAAGCAACTGACTACAAAAGTAATGCATATAAACATTAATGAAAGAATCAAAGATAAATTGCAATAGCAACGCCATCTATTGTCTGAAAAAAATTAATTAACACCTAACATTTTTAATTTGGATATTATGTTTTGCCTACCATTAGCAAATATGAATATGCAAAAAAAAATATCGAATTGAACTCCTTTAATCCGATTAAGGAAAGTGTTATATAAATAACGCTAATAAAACAGACTGACCATAACAAAAGAGTAGAACGAGCCGAGGGACGATACATTTCACTGCGTCCGACCTTGCTTGCGAAGTCGTGAAAGCTGTGCATTCGCTAAATCAAAGAACCACTATTCAACAGACTAAAACTAATTGATAAATTTGTTTATGACGTTTTAATTAAAACAGTAAATAAATATTTAACGGTTTTTGTAAAGTAAACGTAATATAGTCTCTATATATGTAAAACATATTATTGTTATTGCGATAGTTTACCGGTTCTTACTTTTTGTGCGTGAAACTAATCAAATATTTTACATTATTAATGATATTTAATGAAACAATAGTTTGGAGCGTAGTAATCGGTCAAAACATAATGCATTTAGGATCAGAGATGTACAAAATACCCTGTACAAAGTATCTGGAATACAAGATACAAAATACTTTTAAATTAAGTATTTCAGATACCAGATACAAAATACTTTCGAGAAAAGTATTTGAAATACTAGATACAAAATAGGTATCTTATAGATACTTTTTATAAATACAAATACTTTTCTAAAAAAAGATTTGAATTTAAGTTTGTTTATTAAAGACCACAAAAACCTAAATCTTAGACCAGATGGTGCCAGGGACAAAGTGGATTTTTTAAGCATTTTTCATTAGAAACAATTTTTGTAAGCTTTTATTTAGTTTTCTGTGTTTGTACTCAAATCTTACAAGCTAAATTTCACCTACTTTTCCTCCGTTTTATGTGTTTGTCAATCACAATGTAACATATAAAAATACAAATATTTAATACATCAGGTTTAAATTATTTTAAATTTTTTAGTTCCTTTTTAATAATATTTTTTATCAATATAGCATTGTGAATGAAAAATTGCTGAAATATAACAACAAGAATAATTATTTTAATTTAATTATAAAATTATTATTTATTTAAAAAGCTGGTTTTACGTACGACGTAAAATTACGGAGAACAGAAAATTATTTTTTTCCTAGTGAGATGAAGAGAATGGGTAAAAATAAATACAGTACTTGGTTTTTAAAATTAATGGTGTGTCTTGTGACGAGGTGAATGTGCGATAGTATGTAACGGAACGTATATTAACTTTTTTTGCAGAACTACCGAAAATTATGCCCCTTTAGTGTGTTAAACTAATTTGAAAATTTTTAGTAGAAAATACTTAGCTTCTGTGGTTGATTATAGTACATTGATTTGTAGGAAAGGCTTATAATACGTAGATATACCTAAAAAGACGTAGAGTTGGTATTGCTGGTACTGTTGGTAATGCGGTCTCAACCGGATTTGAAGTATTAATGAAGTCTTTATATATGATATTTCCGTTTTTAATAAAATAAATGAAGCTTTATTTTCTTATTTCTATTAATCAAAGTAATCACCCATGCAATCAATACATCTTTGCCAACGCATTGGTAGCTTAATGATGCCTTCTTGAAGAAATCAGCTGGACGGGAGGCAACGAATACTTCAAAGGCATTTTGTACTGCCTCTCGGGAATTTATTTTTTTCCCTCTAAGACGTTATCCAAATTCTGGAAGAATTAGAAGTCTGTAGGCGCATGGTCTGTTAAGTACGGTGGATGACGGAGAACTTCAAACCCCAGCTCTTGTAGCTTGGGTACCGCCAATTGTGTAGTATGAGGTCGTACGTGGTCGTGCAGGAGCAGTGGAACCGAACGATTGACAAAACCTGGTTGGAGTTGTGCCAGCTTCTCCGTCATTGTGTTCAGTTCTTCACAATACACACAGTAAATCTGCAGTAATGCTCGTCCCGTTTGGTAAGAAGCTGTGATGAAATACATCCGCGTTAGACCACCAAACAGCAACCTTTTCGTAAACCAATAACGGGCAAACCAATAACGGGTGGTGCGTTCGTTTGTAGTGTTCGCTCTGCAAACGTTGTAATGTTGCGTGCCGCTTTGCTGCCACGATGGCACACATACTCCATAATTACTCGAATTTTTAACTTATCCATGACGACGAAAAATTTTCAAATGGATTGAAAACAAAACACTTACTATTGAACAAATGACGATTTTAGAAAAAATAATTTGATATTAGAATTATCAGCCAAAAAATAGTTTGATTTTAAATGGCTAGTACAGCAGAACGGCATACCTATGTAAGGTAAAGACCTAATATTAAGACAGGACACCGCCCATTTTTTTGTTGTTTCTCAATAAAGATCCCTTGAATTAAATGGCTACTTATTAAAGCAAAATCTACTATACGATTACATCACAGGTTGTGTTGTATTTTTGAAAAATAAAGGAGTATTAATTGACGATGTCAAAGAAATCATTTGAAGAATTTTTTCTATCAACAAATTTATTTTTATGACGAATTAGTTGAAAAGCAGTGGGTAATTATTTTCAATATATGACAGCAATGACAGCACTCGTTTCCGAACTACTGAAGATTTGTCAGTATTTTTTTGTATTATGCCTCATAATGCGAATATTGATTTTTTTTTCGCTCATGAATATGCAGTGGTCAAAAGATAGAAAAAGATTAACTGTTGAGTCAATAAAGGCAATATTGCTTTGCTCACGGGATATAATTTCAAGCATTTGCCATGTATCGAATTTCACAGTGAAATTTCTTTAAAAATAAACTTTTTGAATGCTGTTGTTAGTAGAAAAAGTATAATGTGCAAAAAAAAATTAATAATGAGTTTAATTGATATACTTACTGAGTTTTATTTATAGCATATAACCGGGTTTTTACATAAATCAAGATTTTTTATTGCTTGTAACTGGTTATTCGATTTCAAGTCCTATGCGCCATCTATCAATTTTTACTAGGGATTTTACTTAGGGAGGGTGTATTACACCGGTATAACTGTACGTTCAGTTCTACGCATTTACTTTTAAATGACACCAAACAATGTTTGGATTCGAGTTATTTTTAAATAAATATTCATTGCGTTGATAATTGAACACTTTCTTTTTGTAAATATGTATGTTTTAGGCAAAGAATGTTTTGTGATATTTATAAAATGTAAGAAATAATCTTTTTATAAAGTATTTTATCCGAAAAAGTATTTAAAAGATACTAAGATACTAAACAAAAGTATTTAAATACAAGATACAAAATACTTCCTAAAAAAAGTATTTTAGATACAAGATGAAAATACGTATTTTGTATCTTGTATCTGTATTTCAAATACTTGTATCTAAGATAAGTCACATCTCTGTTTAGGATATAGGACAAATGACATATTATGTTCCAGAGAATTGTGATCGTACCATATATTTCAATTTATTTTAAATTTAATTTTTACAAATTGATAATTACTGTACATTTTCATCGATTCTATGGGCAGAATCTGGCCTTGTGCTTTATGTAATTTCATAATTTTTATAAATTATGGTTAAGATATACAGTCTCCATACAAACATAAGACATAAGGTAAGAACCTTGTTCCTGTAAGAGAGGAAGAAGGGTAATGCCAAAAATTGTTGAACCTTTCATTTAAGATTTCTTTTATTATTTCCAGGAACCGAGAACGAACAACATTATGTACCAATTCCCGTTGCACAGGATATCCTACTGCGCAGACGATAAAGGCGCCAAAAAGTATTTCTCGTTCATCGCGAAAGGTGGCAGTACTGTAAACGGGACCAACCACGACAACAGCTTAGAGAGACACGAATGCTTTGTGTTCATATCTACAAAACTGGCGTCCGAGATCACTTTAACTATAGGACAAGCATTTGATTTGGCTTACAGGTATATCTATGACATGAATGAATAAAAAGATGTGTGGTAGATATTTGATATCTGACAAATTACAATCATCATCACCAGCTTATTACTGCTGGGGCTCAGGCCTTCCCTATTGATGGAATCGAATAAGGCCCAGTGCAGATTGGTGGGTATTAACGACTACTCAAGGAGCCTGGATCAACGTCTTAATGTTCTTCCGAAGCTTAAAGGAGCTCGGGGTAGCAAATTTTTGGTCACGCATCCTATGACTAGCCATTGCGTGATTACCACGATCATCATTCTATGGATAGTGCCATTACTGGCGAGAGGTCTTATCGTTATTTATATATTCAGGGAGAACGGCCACATTTGACCATAGTCCCCATACGAATCAAATTAAGATTGGTAGGTACTAATGACTGCATATTCAACCGGAGCGAATTTATGTGAATTCCGAAACACGCAGTAAGCCGAGATAATACATTTTAGTTATAGATCTGGGGCCTGGCCTTGCGTAAGCTTCTTAATAATCACAATGACTACTCGAAGGTCATTGCGCCATCGAGTGCTTATTTAAAAATTATAGCACTAAAAAGTTAAGTTATCTGATAGATTCTATGTCTGAACCTGGGCCTTTAGCAGGTGATTTTATAACAAATTGGTAATCTATCGTTGTTTTCCAGTAGACCTTTTGAACATATTTACTTAAAATAACTTATTTATCAATGTTAAAAGCTTTTTATGTACAAATATTTAATTTAGGCTTTATTTCAGACGGTTCCTGAACGATAATGGCAAATATATTGAAATGCAAAAACTCACATTGCAAAACAAGAAATTGGAGCTACAAATGAACACGTACAAAACGCGGTTGCAGGTATTTTATAATGATATAACTACATATTAATGTTTATGTACTACTTAGGGCATATCTGATGGAAGATGACTTGGGCGCGCTTGGCTCTTGGGCTACAAAATCGCATCATCCCATTCAAGCTAATAATAAGTTGTACGCTGAGGTGACAGATTCAAGGTTTATTCTTCTGTATGATAGAATAAACAAAATAAATTTGTATGATTGTATTTTTTTTTGGTAGCGAAGATCGACAAGAAAACAAATGATTTTCTAATACGATTTCTTTATTGTAACTTCATTTTTGTCTACGATTGTCGCAGGAGCTGTCAAAGGTGACATACAAAGACGACTTGTCCGCGTATTTGGCGCGGAACAATCTCGCAGAAATCACAGAGTTCAAGGTTCCTGAGGTGTTGGAGCAACAGATCTCTTCGCTTACACTGGCCAATGGTTTCAGCGCCATGAATGGCAACAAGACACCAGATATGGGTAACTGTCTTATTTTCCTTGTTATATTGCCGTATATGTCACATTACAACATTAAGCACATTAGTTTGAATGTCATATAGAATTTAGCTAGAAAGCAATAGTTGTCTTTCTAGTCTAAGTGGAATCTCGCCTTGTTTCATTTCGGGTTACAAAAGTTTAGTAATTAACATATATTTTTATTTCAGCGACAGATGCATTGTCGAATAACTCAACCGATACATTTAACTCCAGCAACGACAATAACCTGCTTCTATCCACGCCGCCACCCACACATAACGGGAAACCGAATTTCAATACAGGGTACGTATTTGTTATACGGTTGTTGAAAAATAATTAATAAATGCAAAGGCTGTAAGTCCTCCATTAAGTTGCCTTTTTCCAAAAAAAAAACTAAGCTGTGTAAAAACCGATCAATTCCGAAAAATCCTATTATTTTATTAAACGTTCATTTTAACGAGTTCTTATTGATTTTTATTTGCTTTGGAAACTTTTCAATTTTTTATGAATTTATTTTAATCGGAAAACAAACAGTGTTGACTTTATTACACAACTCTTGAGATTTCTATTCACTAATTACACCTTTTCATATAGTATTTTACAATTTCTTCACAGGAAGCAGCCAAAAGAGTTGTCGTCAAGCAAGAACCCTGTAGTAGGTCCGAGACTAGAAGAATTGTTGCTTAATTCAGATTCTGACAGTGGTAAATAATTGCATATATTTTTCTGGACTTTTAGTATTGAATTTGCATTAACGATGCTATATTGATATTCATCTTATTATTTTTGAATTTTCATTATTAATTATTGATCAGTCAAAACTTTAATTGAATTTTATTTTTTTTAGACTTTGATCCACGCGCATACGAATCGGAACCTGTGACGCGATTCGCCGCGCCTGTTGTAGAGAATGCCGTCACACCGACGCCACCGCTTTGTAAGTTTTGTAAATAAACATATATTTTCCTTGTACTATAACTTTTTATAGTATAAAAATATGTTTCATTTTCTTATAAATATTGTATTTGAAATATGAATATTTATTTTTACTAATTTCAAACATGTAACTCTTTCTAGTGGCTCCACCTCCAAAAGCGTCGAAACGTCAAACGCCGCAACAACAGACTCCACCTCAACAAACCGCCCATACTCAACAACCGGTGCCGCTAAATTCAGATCTTTTCGGTTCGCCTCCGTTCGGCGTCCAAACAGTTCAATCGCAAAACACAATCGTCCAAACTCAAGTCAAACCCAACTACGACATAAGCGATTTCAATCTGCAAACATCAGTTTTCAACACAAACACATCTTTTACTAATGGGTTAAGTGGATATGATCCCTTCGACACGCAGAAAACCGGAAATATCTTTGGGAATGGCTTCGGTAACACTTTTAATGGGTTTGGGAATTTGAGCGAGAAGCAAACTGTGGAGTTGAACAGCAGTTTCAATGGGTTTCTAGATAAAACAATTTCGGAAATGAAGGTAATTTTCTCTCCCACACATTTATTTTCTCCCTCATAATTTTAATCGTAAACACCAATATTATTGTACTATAATAGAAAGTCCTAATCAGCAATATCTTTGTTTTGGTTTCAACAGTTCAATAATTGGTAAGTTTGAATCGAGACGACGTTGACATATTAAAGAAAAATTTGTGATATTTATAATTTTTCATTATACTTATACATTCCTTTTATTAAATTGATATCTTACTAACACGTTTATAAAATCCATCAAATTCTGAACACATTATACAGTGTGGCTTAATAAATCAAACGCCGTATTCCGTGTGATATTTTTGCTGTGCAGTAATTTTTTATTCATGAGTATAGGTTCTGAAGTTATGTAGTTAATTTAACTTCAACGCCAATAAATTGATAAATATTTTTTTGTCCACAGGATGGATTCAGCCGAGGGATCACCTTTGGAAACGACGATTTTTCAATAGATAATCTCGATCCCCTGAAAAAAAATTGAATAAAAGTTTATTTTCTCGTGAAATAAATTTAATAAATTTTAGGTAATTTAGATAATAATACGAGTCTCGTGTTGGTTCACACAACTTTACTTTTAATTTTTTAAGTGAATGCAATAAAAATATTATTTGAATATTATGTAATTGAATTTAATTAATAATAGGTCCTAAGCGTTGCGTGAATCGAAACGAAATTGCGGAAAGTTTTTATTATTAAAAAGCTCATGTGTTGCCATGTTATTGGTTACAAATATATTATTTGATTAGTCCGTGATAATAGATAATATTAACTTCCTGGTAAAATGAACTTTCTTCTTTTATGCTTCTCATGTAATCTCCTTTTACGAATCTCAACGAATAACCAGTAATGTGACAAAACATTGCTATAATGTAACGAATAAAGCTATTGAGTTGAAGTTAATATATTATTCGCGCTCAATGTCATTCTTTAAGTGCCTTATAAAAACTTTCAAACAAACAAATCGATGAACTACTTAAGACATGTCATTATTTTTTATTTCATGTTCTTTTTACCAATTATACATCGGTAGATTTTTAGGTATAAAGTTATTTTCGGTATATACGTATTAATATACAAAATTGCGCGCTAAAGCATGGACCAAAATTTTATTACGTATATTTGAAGATCACCTCAAAATTCTGTGATAATTCTCTTCATTTGGGGGGCTTCAAATAACTTGAAAAAACCTGATAAGTGACTGAATTTAAATTACTAAAAAGACTTGTCTGGATGTAAATAAATTTATTAATAAGAACACTTTTTATAATGATTATACTTGTAAACAATTTTATTATTCGGATGACATTGTAGCAGTATTATGATCAATACATTCCATGAAATATAATGTTTTTAAATCGATAACTATTTTTACTGGCTGATATAATTATATTTTAGTTGTGTATAATATTAATTAAAACTGTTGTATTGGAATGTCGCATTAGTGGGTATTGTTTAGTATTGTGTACACTAATGTTACTTTAAGACCAAAAGATATACATAATTGTGTATTTTCAATAAAAATCTATATTTATACCTCATTGTTTTTTTTAATATTTATTAATAAATTCCTTTAAGAATGAATTGATAACTTTCATTATGACTGACAATGAATCATATGTATATGATCTGGAAAAAGTATTATTCAAGTGGATTGCAAATTATGAGTCTTAATACCTAACATCCAGTAAAGCAATATGCTTTACCAATGCTATAGGATAAATTACACACTAAGCAAACATTATTTCATTCATTGACTGATAAATTTTGATTATAAATCAAATTGTGTATGGCCAGCACCTAGTCTGCAGTGTAGTATATTTTATTTTCTTCATTAGGGCCCTTTACAAATACAAACTCGCTGCACGATCAAACCAACTGAGCTCGAACGGACAGTGCGTCGCATTCTGTAGTCATTTTGCAGTTATAATTTTTGTTTTTATTGAAATAGAATAATAAATTTATGCTTATAAGTTCTGAAAACTCTTTCCTTCAGAAGTAATCATTGTAAAGGTATGTATGTACAAATTTTATTCAATAATATTATCTTAAATAGTAGAAATTCATAGTTAACTTATAGCTATTTTCGAAGGTTTTTGGTTTATAATAAGAAGTTTCTTTCTATTTTTAATCAATGATTATTCAAAATTGCCAGGCCGCAGCGAACTATACCTACAATTATATAAAAAAGATAACATTTTTTATTTATTTCTTTTGTTTGGACCAGTAGCACAATCCAGGAACTTAAAAAGTGCAATCACGCATTTAATATGTGGCTACACCACCAGTAAGACAGTAATAAGACTACATCAGTTAATGGAAAATTTATTTGTGTATCCGCCAATGAAATAAGGAGCTCTTAAAAGAACTATTTCAACGTCACTGTCCGTATGAAACAAAGGAGAAAGCAACGCAACAAGTGCGTGTCAACAGCTGCGCGCCACATGTCAACCTTCCGCAGCGTAGTCACCCGCACGCTCACCCGACGCCTGGCAAAAGGGATCTCGTTAACTCTATGCCAGCCTTTATACGCTACGTCACACGATCCCTCGCCCCGCGTCTCAGTCCCTTTCCCTTTCCTCTCGGCACTTTCCCCTTCCATTGTAAATATTGTAGCTTTCTCGCAATTGGTTTAAAATGTACATTTCTCATTGGTTAAGTTTGTATTTATAATTTTAATTGGTTAATATTATATTACGTTTTAGTATAAGTAGCTGTAAGATTTGTAAATAAAACATTCCATCCTTCCACCTTCTACGGAGTTTTACTACCTGACGACAAGCAAGCCTACGACCCGATCAGAGTTGCCAAAGTGGTGATCCCGACGTGATCTTCAACCGACGTGATCATCAGCAACCTTCAGCATCACAATGCAGCCATCACTCTTCATCAACAGCCTCTCACCCTTCATCATCAGCTTCTTATCCCTCATCAGCACAGCCACTTCAGCAGCAAGCCAGCCAACACCAAGGTCCATCACAGCAGCATCAACGGCGCTTCCTGGATTCTTGGCACCACATGACGGCATCATCCCGACCTGGTCCTCGCAGCCCACGACCGGACCTCAGTTCACACACAACTCACCGGCGTGGCAGCCCTGCACACCAGCAGCTTCGGTCCCGACGTCACAACCTGGCACTTGCAACCTCTGAAGCACTAACTGCATACCACGTACTATCAACATGGATCGACCTTCGGTCTAGGGGGAAAGTACTGTGGCGACTGATATATAGCGACATCTAACTCATCGCACTAACATCGCCACAACAATCGATAGCGAGAAGGCTAGCATTGTCACAGCCATCGATAGCAAGACGAACTGCAATAAATTTCAACAGCAAGTAACGAGATGGCGCTGTACCAATACAAACAGCATAAATTAATAACTACAAGACACTTAGAACAAAGAAACCTACATCACACAGAATAAGTTTAATTACCAATTAACATAAATAGAACGTCCAACCTACATCGGTTGGACCGCGGTCCCCGGGCTAACAACACCTAGCTCGGAGGGAGACAATTATCCTTTAGTCTCCCTGACCAGTTGTCTCCATCACCACAATAGGGACCCCAACCTCCAATCTTACGGTCCTATAAATAAAAAGTGGCAACCACTCGGGTATTATTCAAAAAAGTTCTCAGAGGCACAAAAAATGTATTCAACTTTCGACCGAGAGCTACTGTCGATATACATGGCAGTGAAGCATTTTAGAAAGTCATTCGAAGGACGGAACCTAATAATCTTCACCGACCACAAGCCTTTAACATTCGCCATGGCAAAGTCACAATCCTCATCCGAAACACCGCGTAGGACAAGACAGCTTTTGTTTATCAGCGAATTTACCACAGACATACGCCATGTGAGCGGTAAACAAAACGTAGTCGCCGACGCACTCAGCAGGATAGAAACAATAGCCTGCCCAACAACAATAGACTACGCGGAACTAGCCACTGCGCAAGACAAAGACGCGACCATTGCACCCCTATTGAAGCAAGACAACATTCTACTAAAGAAAGTGAACGTTCCAAACACAGATGTCGATTTATATTGCGAGACTTCAACGTTGTACGCCCGTCCATATATACCCGAAAAATACCGCCTCGACATATTTAACAGCATTCATAACATTAGTCATCCGGGAATCCGCACAACTCGCAAACTTATAACAAAAAAATATTTCTGGCCGTCAATGAATATTGACATTGGCGTATGGGCTAGAAACTGCATAAACTGCCAGAAAAGCAAAATTAATCGACACACTACTTCGAATATAGCAACCTTCCCGCCAGCCGACCGCTTCCAACACATACACGTAGACATCGTTGGACCACTACCTACAACTGCGACAGGTGAACGTTACCTCATCACGATGATCGATCGACACACACGATGGCCTGAAGCAATACCTACCGATAACATATCAGCTGATACTGTGGCTGACGTTATCTACAAACATTGGATTTCGCGTTTCGGATGTCCAACAACACTAACCAGCGACCAAGGTCGTCAATTCGAAAGCTTTCTTTTTACCAACTTAATGAAGATTATGGGAATAAAGAAAAATCGTACAACACCATATCATCCGCAATCCAACGGCATCGTCGAACGCTGGCATCGCACACTGAAGACCGCACTGCGTACCAAACTTAGCAACACAAGTTCTTGGATCGACGAACTACCAACCGTGTTACTTGGACTAAGAGCCGCTCTACGGAGCGACACCGGCGTCAGTGCAGCTGAATTAACTTACGGCTATAACTTACGGCTACCTGGCGATTTCTTTCAAAACAACTGCACCAACTCAACAGCCATGAACTATACTTACGTAGAAAAGTTACGGGAACACATAAACAATAACAAGCCACGTTTCACCACAACGCATCATAATAGTAACAAACACATGTTCGTGCACCAAGATCTAAAAAAATGCACGCACGTGTTTGTCAGAGTCGACGCAGTAAAAAAGCCACTTCAACAACCATATGAAGGTCCTTATCGAGTCGTGGAGCGCACAGATAAAGTGTTTACGATCCAGTTACCAAATCGTCAAGCAGCTATCTCCATCGACCGATTGAAGCCTGCATACATCATAGAGGAGAGTTATGCAACAGATACAGATTACCAACATACGCCTGAATTTACCAGTTACCATAATCATACCTTTATAAGATTACCACATCAAAGCACGAATACCACCACAACATTACCATCAATGCCGTTACCAGACTCAAGTGTAAGAAACAACGACGTGACGTCACAGCCAGCAGAGAAGCGAACTAGATCTGGCCGTGTCGTCAAACTGCCAGTACGTTTCACTTGAAGGGGAGTACTGTGGCTACACCACCAGTAAGACAGTAATAAGACTACATCAGTTAATGGAAAATTTATTTGTGTATCCGCCAATGAAATAAGGAGCTCTTAAAAGAACTATTTCAACGTCACTGTCCGTATGAAACAAAGGAGAAAGCAACGCAACAAGTGCGTGTCAACAGCTGCGCGCCACATGTCAACCTTCCGCAGCGTAGTCACCCGCACGCTCACCCGACGCCTGGCAAAAGGGATCTCGTTAACTCTATGCCAGCCTTTATACGCTACGTCACACGATCCCTCGCCCCGCGTCTCAGTCCCTTTCCCTTTCCTCTCGGCACTTTCCCCTTCCATTGTAAATATTGTAGCTTTCTCGCAATTGGTTTAAAATGTACATTTCTCATTGGTTAAGTTTGTATTTATAATTTTAATTGGTTAATATTATATTACGTTTTAGTATAAGTAGCTGTAAGATTTGTAAATAAAACATTCCATCCTTCCACCTTCTACGGAGTTTTACTACCTGACGACAAGCAAGCCTACGACCCGATCAGAGTTGCCAAAAATAAAAGTCTCTGCAATTTTGGATTTAATAAAAATATAAGCGCAATTTATAAAAAGCATACCTGCTACGAAATATGCCAATACGTATTCTGCACTGTTCAATAATTCAAATTGTTTATATATTTTTGTTTCCGAGATAATGAACACCAAAAATGAACATTGTGCATAAAAATCAGAGATCAGAAGTGTAATAGAACCTTTGAGATAGCTAGGCTCCAGTTTCCTGTATACCTGACAGCTATCCCACACACTCAATAATCATCATCATGGGCATCTTCATATTTTCCAATGTATTTAATAAAGGGATCGCGAGTGGGGGTACATTTATACCTTGTTGTTTTGTTTGATATTGGCTTTCGGTAGTCATTATTCCGCTTTCAACGATTTTCTAAGTTAAAGTTTTATTGTTGCTTGCAATTGTAAGAATAAATATATTTTTTTATAAAGTTTTAATATAATTCACATAGAATATAAGTTGATCCTTCCTTCATGTTTTAATCAACTTCAAAAAAATTTACCTTTCGAAACAACTAGAGTTGATTCGAAAGGTATGTAATTTCGTTGGAATAGCGTATATGTTGGTCTGTATGGACTTCTAAGCAGGTATGAAAATTTAGATAGATGTGTGTATGTATATTTGTCCACGGATATCTCGCAAA